ACCATTTTTAAAAAGGTTCCTGGTACTTAGAGCTTAGTAAATGACCATTACGGTATGTTCCAAGATAGCCTGGACATGCCAGGGGAGCCCCTAGCAACGCTGTTAAGAGGACCCATCCTCTCCTCCTCAGGGAACACTGCCAGAAACGACATCATTAAACATTCATCTATGGACCCTTTAAAATATAAATCACAGAGAAGAAATGGAATTGCGCTCAGACCTTTCAAGATTTGCAGATCCGTTTCTCAGCTCTGCCTTCTGAGATGGGAGTGTCAGAAGAGCAAAGAACGGAATAGTTCCAGATTCTATTCAATTTCTTGGCCACTCACCGGGAACTAAGCATTTTTTCTTGCTGGCCAATTCTGCCTGGGTGAAATAAGAGGTCTGAGCTGTCAATCAGAACCAGGTTCTGACAAGCTAAGGTTCGTGGAGTCGGGGGGGAGTGAGGCACTGGAAAGGCGAGGGGCCAAGGCCATCAACACAGAGCCACCCCACCTCCCCCCAATCCAGGTAGGGGCAGCATCCAGTATTTAAGGTGGCAGTCTTTTGCCCCTGCCTGTTCTGGTCTCTGGCCAACTTTCTCAGACTGCTAAGGTCCCAGCTTGCTCTCCTCCCCATGGAATCCTCCAGAACACGGCCACCACTCTGAGGCCACATACTGCGCATGGTGAGCGGGGCCTCAAATAATTCCTTCCAGCCATGAAAGGCCAGAGCCTTCCAGCCTGTTGAGTTTGACAGACAATCTGTCTTCGTTTCTAAATGTCCCCTAAGAAGAACAAATCTGTTACGCGCCGGCCAGCACATTTCCACAGAAATGAAATAATGGAATCTGATGGAACCGTCAAACTTGAACATGTGGAATCGAAGAGAGAACGGAGTAGGCACAGCGAGGAAGGCGCAGCCTTCCCTCAGCCCGGAATCTGCTCTCAGGAGGGATGGATACGCCCCCTTTGTGCGGGTGAGTCTCCCATCAGGGAAGAGCACCCCAGCTAGAGAAGACACCACTCAGGCAGCTGGAACATGGCCCGTGCACTGGCCTTCAAGCCTGCTGAAGCGAGTGTTTCAGACAAGAAATAGAGCAGAGCCAAATTTCCCAGTCATGTGAAAACTGAAAGGGAGAAGTTTCAGCCTCAGAGGAGCCTAACTCTGGCTGCCGTGTGACTGGGAGGCCCTTCTCTCAGCGTAGAGGAAGGTCCCCTTGGGTAGAGGAAGGTCCCCTTGGGCTCCCTTCCCTGCCCCCTCAAGGTTGCAGGGAGGAGACATAGCTCAAACGGCACTAGGGGGCGGAAGTGAGCGGCCAGGTGATGCTCGGAGACCGCTCAGGTGAAGGCGGGTGTGCTGGCTTCTTGGCTTTGGGCTTGCACCTGGGGTTTGGGGTGACACTGAAGGGTAACGTGAGGGAAAGGCACGCTGAGACACTTGGAAGAGACACGTGGGTGAGAGATAGGTGGGGAGGCAGGCCATGGCAGCCTTTATCTTCATCTTTAATTTGATTTTGCTCCTTTCTTCCCAGACATGCCTGGTCTCCTTCTGTCCCTTCCCAATGGTCCCCCACCCCAACCCTGAGGTGTGGCAGCCTTTAAGGCCCCAGCAGCCCCGCTTCAGGCCAACTTGGTTTGGTTGGGTATTTACCCACAGGGGATGGGTAACTTTGGGTGTTTTACAGGGAAATTATCATCCCTTCTTCTCTCTTTCATATTAAGTAAGGTTTGCCTTTGTGTGCATGAGTGGCCGGACCAAAACCAGGCCTGAGGTGTTGATAATTCCGTGTTGGGGGCGGGGAGTAACGTCTTTCAAGATAACAGAATAGTAGCAGAAACAGCTACTATTTAAGAAAGAACTTATAAGCATCAGGTGCTGAGTTAAGCACCTTATAAGCATCTTAAAATTTTAATTCCTACAGATAGGTACATTATCACCCTTGGACAAAGGGAGAGACTGAGGCTGGTTCTCCCCTTCCCTCCTCCCTAGGGAAAAACCCTTCCCTGGTAAAGGCTGGATGACTGTGGCCTTTGAGTGGAGAATGCCTTCTATTATTTGATAAAGCCTCGCTGAGTGCACTCCTTGGACTGTGTCTTAATGGAAATAGGACACAAGGGAAGTTGAGGTCAGCTGTCAAGAGAGCTGAGGGAGGGCCTGTTCTGGAGGCATCCATGATGCTCAGACACAGGCCAGCAGCTGAGGCAGATTCTGCTTGACCTCATCTCTCTTCCTCCCCCCACTGCAGGACCAAGAGTAAAGGGGAGACTTCCCCTCCCCCACCCTCACCCCCACTCCTTCAAGAGGCTTCCAATCTCTTCCCATCCTATCTGGCTGCTTCTTGCACAGTGCTGCGGCTTGGGCTGTCTCAGTCTCCAAGGGGATGGGTGATTTATGTCCTTTTATTCAGCAAACAGCTTTGTACAGAACGGATGTGACTTGCTGAATGTCATCAGGCGGGGGCAGGAGAGCCTCACAGAATCCCAATGAAGCCTCCCAGGCCTGGGCAAAATGGCACTGGTGAGTCTGTTGCACGCGTTTCCACTGGTGGGAGTCTGGAAGACGCAACAGATCCTGAAAGGTTTCAGGAAAGCTGGCGAGAACGGCAGGGAAGCACCAAAAACCCCATCATCCTGCCTCCCCTGTGTCTCTATCTTCTGGGCTTTGCAGGAAACAGACTAGGCAGTCAGCAAGCTGTATACCTGGGGGAGGAGGGCTCCCCTCGGTGAAGCTGTCAGCTGTGGAGGCTGAGGGGCTCAGAGCCCAGGGCCTGTGGGCTGCAGAATCAGGCACGAGGGCCTGAGGCATTCACCAGGCTGAATCAGGTCTCAGCTCTGCGTTCTCCCTCCCCAACCCCACAGTGGCCGCTGGGGCTTCCTTACCCTCTCCACTCTCATTCCAAGCGTCTCCTCTCCCCTCATCCCTTTGACACCTGGTGTCTAGTCTCCCTGAGGCCATGAGCCATGCCTATTCCTTTCCCCCATCCCACAACCACACAGCTCAGCTTCATGCCCAACATAGGTGGGCACTCAGTGTTTGTTGAATGAATAATGAACCTTGTTCTCCATTGAAGTCTGGCCCTCCAGCAGCTATGGGACGTTCTGGCAGGGTGGCAAAGCAGAACCTATATGTCTAGGTCAATGGAATCTGCATGATGCCAGTGTGCTACAGATGATCTGAGGAATGGCAAAGAATCACATACCTGGAGGTGCCTTTGAGGTCACATAGCCAGGGCTCTCACTTACAGAAACCAAGGCCCAGAGGACACGTGACGTGTAATAACCCCCCACCAAGTTAGGAGCAGAAACCCGGGTCACAGCTGATGGAGCAGGTCCAGCCTACTACACCACCCTGCCTCCTCCTCCCACACCTGGCCTTGCCTCAGTGGCCAGCCCTGCCCAGCCCAGATGTCCTCCTGGGTGCAGGCTGCCGAACTCGCTGGCCTGAGTCTCCAGTCCACACAATGTCCCAGGGAGGATGGTAATTAGTTTCCATCATGCTGCACACACAGCACCTGGGCAGCAGAACCACCATGTGTTCCAGGCGCTTCATCAGGTTAGAACACCAGGACTGGTCATGTGGGCAAAGGCAGAAGACAGCAGTCAGGCCCGTGAGTGAAACGGTCACCTCGAACCCGAGCAGAGAGCGAAGCAGTGATACTCAGGAGGTTGGGACAGGGCAAAGAACCGCGCCCTGGGGATGGCCCTCCCCTCACCCTCCTGTGAAACGGAAAGGGACAAGCCCACCTGGGAAGGCCAGAGAGATGGGGGGGGGGGCAGAAATGCTGACCTCTCCTTTCTTTCTATCATTTCCTTGGGGCGCCCTATATAGCAGGGGTGCAGGGTAAAGCGAGTGGGAGCCAGGGGGAGAGGGAGAAGAAAGGAGGGTGAAATCAGTTCAGCGAGGTGCTCAGAGCTGTCCGTCCCTGTTCTGGCCAAAGTCCCAGGCAAGAGTGGAGGCAGGAACGGGCTTCTGGCCATTGAGGGCCATTGAGGATTTCATCCTTAGATGCGCCAAGACCTTCTCTGACTGTTCTTAAGACACAACCACCCTAGCCGTGGATTCAGGAGCGTGACGGGGTTCCAGGGGCAACTGGTCTCCCCTTCATAATCCAGCCACCCCCGCTTGCAGGCTGGGAAGCGGGTTCAGAGAGCAGGCCCCGGCCAGAGACAGGGCGCCAAGATGGTGCCACAGAGAGAAGCCAGATCTCTGAGCTCCTGCTCCAGGCGCGCTGGTCAGTCAGATCTGGTGGCTTCCGTGCTTGCAACCCCAGAGGCAAGTACAAATAGTCATCCAACCCCTTGCTCTGCAGCTCTTGAGAGGAACATGTGGGCAGGGGTGGAGGGGCGAGGGGCGTCCAGGCTGACCAGCTGACCACTAGCAAAGGTGGCCCCTCACCCCCTCTGCTCGCCTCGGCTGTGATCTTGATGCGACCCCTAGGGAGCCTCAGTACCTTCCTAAGACCTCCGTGCACCCCTTCCTTTCCTGCTTCGTGTTTGCCTCCGGAGATGAGATTCGAGAGAAGCCTGTGTCGGCGCGGGCAGAGTCGGGGGCGTCAGGGCGGGGCAGGTGGCAGGAAGAGGGTGTGCAGAGAGCCTGTATTCTAGCGCCCGCCCAGACCTCGCCTTTGCCAGGCTCAGTCCCGGCCCCGGAGGGTGGGTCTGCCGTGACCACTGCTGTACCAGTGGCTCCGCCATGCCCTGGGCCGGGGCATTAAATGAATGATTTGGAAGAGAAGCAAAGACCAGCCAAGTGCAGGGCTGGCTCATGGCCACGGTGATCCTGGGGCCAGGGGACAATCAGGAAGCTGACGGGGCTGCAGCAAGGCTTTCTGGGAAGTGGCCCTGACTTGGAGGTCCGGGTCCCTGCTCTGAGCCCATCTTCCCCAGCAGATGCCTTCTGGGGGACTCTGGGTAGCAGGGTGCAGCTGGAAGGGGGGAGTCTGCTAGGCAGGGGCAGCGGGGGAGGGGAGTCCTCTGGGGGGGCAGTGGGGGAGGGGAGCCCTGGGCGCGGGCACTCACTCCAGAACGTCGCGGTTGAACTGCTTCTTGCTGTTGCCCAGGAACTCCCCGATCATCTGCCTGCTGAGGCCCTTACGCTGGAGCAGGAAATGGGCCACTCCGATGGGGGTGTCAGGGATGAAGCCCCTGGAGATGAGGAACTGGATGCCCTTGTCCGGGTTTCTGCGGGTGGGAGAGGAGGTCAGTGAGCTGGTGCCATCTGTGACTTCTTCCCTCCTGTCTTGCAGCCCATGAATCCAGAGAAGTGGCGAGAGCCCTTGGAGAGGCTTCCCGGGCGAGGCCTGAACTCCTTTCCCTATGGGGTCACACTCTGCCGAAGCTGCCCTGCAGGAGTGGGCAGTGGGGCAGGAAGGGGAGAGGGGTCCTTTCTTTCCCCCAGCCTCACTGCCCTGAGGCCCCCAAGGCCTGCCAGGAAGGCCCCTCCTGTGTCCTGCTGTCCATACACAGGGCCCACCCTGGAGTCAGGAGAGGGAGGGTGCGGCTGGCAAATGGAGTGGCGCCTGCCACACGCCTCTCCCGTCCGTGGTGGACGCAGGGATCCTGCTCTCTGGCGGGGGTGTGGGCCTGGGGGTGTCTCAAGGCGGATGTGTTCACAGTGTGGTCTGCAAATGCACACTGCTCCCTGAACTGAATCTCACTGGTCCGGAGAAGATACGCAGAGACAGAGAGGGAAAGCATTCAGAACCTTTTATAGCACTTTGACATTTTGGGGACAACCAAGCATGTAATTGTTTTTCTAGCAATTCGTTTTTACTGTATTTTACAAAAGTCTCAGCCCCTGATGTATTGGGTAAAAAAATCAAACTGATCCTTCACTGCAGATTGCTTGAGAGTGGCTGCCTTGAGGGATGCGTGAGGGAGGCCGGTATCTGCGTGAATGTCTGTGCCCACGGGGAGCGAGGCTGTGCGGAGGGGCTGGGCCCTGCAGCATGGCCTCCCGACAAGGAGGAAGGGCAGTGGGCTACGGGCCCTGAGCGCCCTCCCGAGCCTCAGTGAGCAACTCTGAGAGTTGCGAGGCTGCCTCCTTTCCTGTAAAATGCCATGATAGTGCCGCCTCCAGTTGACGCTGGAAACACTTATGTAAGTTGAGCTAGGAACAGCAGCTATTTTCCGGAGAAAAGAAGCTTCTTGAGACCAGGGGATGTGCCTTAACTCGGTTTTTAGGTCTTGTTGCTTTACGCTCAATAACTAGCAGCAGAGTGAAAAAAGAATGTACAGGTGGGCGGAGGGGTGCTGTATTTCAGGCTATGAGTGGACATGGGGGCTCCGGGTACTGGAAATTCCCATGGGAGGAGCGTTGCAAGCTTCAGCTTGGCACCAGCTGTATACGTTTGGCTGCAAGAAAGTTCTGATTGGGGCTTTGCCTGTGGCCTGGCAGTGGTTCATTTCTCTGCATCCAGCCCCTTTCTGCAGCTCCTCCTGACTCCCTCTTCTTTCTTTCTTTTTTTTTAAGATTTATTTATTTATTCATACAGGGGTACAGGCCAGAGATGC